GGCGCTTGGATGAGAACAACTTTTGGGAAAGCAAGGCAATGTGAAATTGAATGGAAACGTCAGCGCTACTCGTAGCATTGTTGGTAAATTCTACTACCAATCCTTGATCACCTTTAACGAAATTGGGTGGATACATCTCATACTACTGACTTACTGGTAGTCAGGAAAACAATACTTAATGCGAAAAATAAAGTATAGTAGTCGATTGTTATAACAAAACATACGTTTGCTTCATCGACAATTCCACCAAAAGAATATGATATGGCATAAAAGCCTGGCCTTCCTTGAAAATTCACATTTGCCCTGTGACCCAAAAGGCGTGTGATCAGCGTGTCGAGCTCCCATTTTGCACTGTCGCGGTTCGACTCCCGCTGGGGATGTTGATAGGACCCATGCGAGCTCGAACATGCAGTCAACCCTGTAGGAGAACAACTTTTGGGAAATTAAATGGAAACGTCAGCTCTACTCATATCATTGTGGGAAAATCCTTCTACCAGTCCTTTATCACTTTAAATGAAATTGGGTGAATACATCTCATATTACTGATTTGCTGGTAGTCTCGAAACTCTGGATGCCATTAAAGACATGCTTGTTTGTACGTTTTCTGACGGTTAGTGAGTAGTTTTGAATTGGGTCGCTTCAGGTTGCGTCCATTTGACTTGAGAGTGCTTTTTACTTGGTACAAACCCTGATAACTTTTGCCACACATTCGAATTGAACAGTCGCCCAGGCGACAATAGACGAGTCCTGAAGCTGATGCCCTTCGCTTGCGACGGTCTTCTCGCGGCCACCTCGAGTCAACCTCGAAAGCATAGTGTATGTGTGGCTTTGGGGCCGGGCGAAGAGCGAGAGGGGGTGTGGACGCGATGATCTGTCCGTAAACTGACTTCACAATTGGGCCAATCATCGGCAAGTTGGCGAGCATATGTGACGTCTACGGTTGTCGTGGGCGAATTTCGGCGTCGAAAGGGAAATACAACTTGTCGACCACGCGAGGTCTGAGCTTGACGTCTGCCAGACTGCAACTGGCCCACATGCCGCCATGCATGCGTGTATGTGTGTGTCGGTTTGTGGATGAATGCGGTGCAATGTACACGTGTCGGGGCGAGAAGACGGATTGGCCGGCACGGCCTGGACACACCAAATCTGGCCGGTTCTCGAAGCTCGACCAATTGCTGCCAACTGGCTTCGAGTCCGGCCGACAAGGCGATTGGGGAGAAGGAGGGGGTGGAGGACGGCCCACAAACAGCAGTCGTTCGGGCATGAGCTTAGTGCTGGCCAGTAGCCATGGCGAACGGGGCGCAGGACTCTGTGGCAGATGGTGCTGGCAGAGAGAGTATCAAAACGGATAGTACCACTTTCTCGTTGCCTTGGTTTCCAGTTCACTTTTCCTGCAAAGGCATTGTTTAGCCACCGGATTTGCAGGTGAGACAGGAGGGGGGGGAGGGCACGTTTGGAGGATGCGACAAAACGGTAGGCCCGTTTGGCTGGGACGCGAGGAGAGGCCTGCGATTCAGTCTGTCGGTTGGTGTTGCTCTGGCACAAACCTGGACGCACGACGGACGAGCAGAGAAGGAGGACGTGGAAGCGGAAGAAGAGGAAGCCAAAAGTGAAGAAGAGGAAAAAGACAAACAAGATGATGACCAAATAGAAGACGGCACTGGGGAAAGGTA